AGGAACTCTGAGGGTTGTTTATAAATTCTACACACTAATGATTTGATATTCAATATTAATGAGAGAGATTCGGTGTTTAAAGCTTTGTTCTTTCGTTAAACATATCATTGCATCTCCTCAATTTCTGTTTAACAAAACGACAATTTATTGGCGCTCTTGAAGACGATGCGGGCTGTCCCATACCTCACACAGCTACGAAAGCATTGTTAAAGCCACTCAATTGTAATGGCCACTGGCATAAAATAAAGCTGCAAGACCAGAACAAGAGCGACCACTGACGAAGGACAGAGAGCGGGGCCAGTGCCCACGCCCACGCCCACGCCCACAAGGCCAGCCAACACCTTTTTTATGCGTTTTCATTGCGAAAAGCGTAGGAAATATCTTGCCCACGGGGCGTATTAAAATCAATTCATTTAATTTTGATCAAAGCGAAATAAATCTTTGCGCTTTTTGCTTAATTTCCTTCGCTCTTCGTTTCTGTTTGCCGTCCGTCCGTTTGTCCGTCCGCCATCGTCGTTACCGTTGCCGTTGCCAGTGAAGAGGAAAAGCGTTGGGGGCAAAATGAGGGAAAATCCACAACAACGTCAGTGAGTAATTTGGCCTCAGTTTCCCCAGCCCAGAAGGCTGGCTGGGTGGTACGGTTTCCCTGCAGGATATACTAAGTGTGTGAATGTGTATGTGTGTGTGTGTGTGTGTGTCGGTGTGGCTGTAAAACGCAGAGTAAGACAAAAAGCACAAATACTTGCAGCAGAAGAGAAATACCGTAAGCGAAATGAGAAATCATTAGTAAGTAAAAAGCTTTGCCAGTGTGTGAGTAAGTACAAACACACTCCCACACACACACACACCCAGGAGCAAGAGCGAGACAGAGAGAGAGCGTTAAGATAAAGACACATAAAATGAAAGCGGCGTGTAAAAGTTTTTCCTGCTCGGCTTCTCCTTATCAATGCCAGAGCGACGGCAACTGAATTAATTTTTCAATTCGCCAAACGAATTCATTGACTTTTTGTGTTCCACCCGCTCCACCCACAGCCAAGCATATAGCCAGTCAGTCAGCCAGCCAGCCACCCATTCAACCATCCAACCTGCCAGCCAGCCAGCCAGCCAGCCAGCCAGCCAGTCAGCCACCAACCAACCAGTTCGATTCCTTGCACAGACTCCACCACGTTCTTGCCGGGGTATTAAAATCCTTTAAACAGATTTCATTTCGAACGCTTTGCGGTCGATAAATGCATTTCACTTTAGTGGTTTTTTACCCACACATGTATGTACACACTGGCAAGCATGCACACACATGTGTGTATTTACACTAAAAAAAAGTTACAGAAATATTTATTCGAACTCCCATGGAATGGACTGACTCGAAAGTTAATATTTTTCAAATGAAGCAGCGAATATGCGATAATTAATATGCGATATTCTCGATACTCTTTTTTTCTCCGAGTGTACACATCTAAGGCTGTGTGCATGAGTGTATCGCAATCGGCATTGCACACTTTTTGAAGCTTGGGAGGAGTCGTGCAGTCGACTCTTTCCAATGATTTGCTGGCAAATTACTTTGAGGTGTTGCCTGGCTGTCTCTTGCCTCCGTTTTGCCACTCACAGGGGGGATTCCTCCCACTCCAGCGCATCCCCAATCCTCATCCCAGTTACAATTCCACCAGCACCTCCCGCAGTGCAGTACAAAAATTGCCAAATTCATTTCCAAAACAAACATTAAGTATGTATGTGACTGTTAGCGGGTGGCTGTGTGTGCCTCTGTGTGTGTGTATAAGCTGCAAGTGTTGCCAACCAATTTAAAAGTTTTGCTGTCGCCGTCGCCTGAGCGAAAGTAAAGCGCGCTTCTCGTACTCCCAGTTTACTGGGTAGTTCTTCTTCCAATTGACGGCAAAGAAAAACAGCCAAGTGCAGAAAGAGAGCGAGAGAGTCAGAGGCAGGCAGCGCCGGCAAGAGCAGATAATAGTACCACGGCGTACAGTGGAAATTGGCTGCAAAGGATTATACTCAGATTTCAGCAGAGCTCCCAAGAAATACCGAAAGGGTTATGCAACCATTTGATCTTTCTAACTTTAAAATGGAAAACAAATCGAATAATTGAATAATGCAGTTGTACGGAACTAATTTCAAAATAATCAGACAACCCGCAATGCATTCTCAGAAGACTTCCCAGACTTCTGGGAATTAAAAACGAGTCGCAAAATGATGCAAATTGCCGCAAAGAATCCTCCAATCTTTATGCAGAAACTGCCTCTAACTGGAACTGGCACTGTAGTTGGCAATTATTGTTGTTGTAGTAGTGGATGATGGTGTTGTTGGGTCTCTTTCCACGGCACAGCCGCCGCCCACGACTGTGGCACTTGTTGGCTTGGCTGCTGCAAGTTCTGCCGGTACTGTTGCTGCTGCTAGTGCTGCTGTTGCAGTTGCGACACTTCACAAACTCGCAGTCGCTGTTTGTTTTTGCAGCGGCATGTAGGTGTAACCTGCCACTGCCTCTGCATCTCCTGCTCCCTCGCTCTCTGTGTGTAGAAGTGCTGCTCGAAAGTTCATGCACCGTGTGCCACTGCCTCCACTGGCACTAGTCTGGTTGCTGGCACTGAATACACACACACACACACACACACACACAAACACACACATACATATATAAAATTGATATGCATGTGTCTGTTTTTGCCGGCAGCTTTTGCACCGTCTCTGCGTGGCTTGGCGTGGCGTGGCGTGGCGTGGCTTGGCGTTTTTCCCCATTTGAATTGGAAATTCAGCGGCGTGCTTAATTTTCAATTTGCAATCATTTGGCCTGGTAATCAATGTTTGCTTTTCTTTGTGCACCCATCGACTTTTTTCCCAACTCTGCTAATTAGTAACTAAGTGGTCTCATCTCCAAGTCAATTGTCCTCGAGTTGCTACCATATCATTTCCATTTCCATTTCCATTTCCCTGCCTAACTAACTCGGTTTTTCTGGCCAACATTTGGTTTTCGTATTAAGGGAAACTTACACAATGCTCAGACCAGGCAGAGACTGGTAGACTGGCAGACACTTCACTTTCACCCCGACTGAGGCTGGTCGGTTTTCTTATTTATGCCTCGCCCTGTGTTGTGTCTAGTTATTTGCTCACACTTTTCACGCTCATCAACGGCTTGGGCCTCGGCCTAGTCTTGGTCTCGGCATCACCCGATCTGCAACCCATTCCGACCACTTCCTGGGGCAAAGGCAAACTTCTCAGACTCAAGTGTGGAAATTTTCACTTTTTTTCCATAATTAAATTCATTTTCAAGTTGCGCTCTTGCCTTCCTTTTTGAGAAACACAACGACAAATAGACAGACAGACACACAGCCACACAAATAAACACACACACACACACACACAAATACCAACACAACACTCAAGTTTCCACTATTTTTAGTAGTCATTTTCCATTTTTCATTACAGTCTAAAGTCAGTAGACGAAGGCGGAGGAGGAGTCTCCCTCCGCCCGCTCATCTCGTTGCCAACGTTTCATTTTCATGCAGCTTCCTGTGCCGTTGCTTCCGGTTTTATGCCTGCCAGTGTCTATTTCTGTATAGTTTCTGCCATTAGCAACCGTAGTCACGACGTGGCAGGACGAAGAGCTGGAGCTGTAGCTGGTGTTGGTGCTGGAGAGGCTCACTGGATCTGTGGCAGGCCTAGCATTTGGAGAAAAGCCCCTGCACTGGTCCTTGCCCTGCTTCGGCTCGCTTTTTGTTTCCAAGTTTCGGCTTAAGTTGTTTTTAAGTTGTAAATCTCTTCGACTATGCAATTTCCTTGCTTTGTCCCAGTGCCCAGTGGCAGTCTCAGTCCCTGTGCCAGTGCCACTGCCAAAGGCAGTCCCCAAACCCATTCCAATCTCTGTCCAAAGCTGTCTCAAATTTTTCATTTGTGGTTAAAAATATGAAAATTGTAACTGATATTTATGCTTGTAATGCCTCCGCTTGACATTTGGGGCTTTCTCCTCTGACCTCCCGACTGTGGCAGGGAGGAGGGAGCCCTGCCAGCCTGTCCACAATAATTCATCTTGGAAATGCGTGTACGAATTTTGTTATTTTCGGATTACGTGTACGAATTTTGGTCATTCGCTCTGCATTTGCCGGAGCTGTGCTTGAGGCCCCCATTCAAAATTTATCCGAAAGTAATACTATTTCCCTGCAAATTTTGCTTTATTGGAATTCTAAAAATCTCCTACGACCTCCCCTCCTAAGGGGGAGAGACAATTAATTGAATGTGTTGCCTAGATGATTTCGCCCTGCGACGCATACAAATTTCTATAAATATGATAGGCTTTTCCCCCACAGATACATTGCCTTCAGGTGTCTCTGTCTGTGGAAATGTAATTGCTTTGTCATTGCTGGGACATGGGTTTGAATACTTAAGCTCCTGTCTACATACATATGTGGCCTGTGTGGGATTCTTTTTTTAATTGTTTGCCAGCCAAAGGTGAACTATTATAGTTTAGACATTGCAGAGAATGGCTTTTGATTGCAAAAGAGTCTTTATTTAAATACGAAATACCTTCCAACATTTATTTTCTCTCAATGCTGTCAAATTTCAGAGTGTATACATAATTAAAGGATGGTCGGTCTGTCTCTCAGTTTTGCTTGAAAAGAGCAAGTGACAATTTTGTTGACATTTTTATGATTTTAGAAATCTTTTCAATACATGAAAAATCGTAATTTTAAGGTAAACAATTCCCTGATTTATTTATGAACCTTTAACCAGAAATTCATTTGGTATTTTATTTAAGCTGAAATCATTATCTAATTATTCACTCAAAAGAAACAATTTCATCCACTTCAAAATGGAGTTCAGTTTCCCAGAACCGAGCACAATCATTGTCAGCATCGAACAGGGGACATTCGAGATATTTATTTTCGTATTTGAAATGGAAACGACATTTCTCAATTTATGCAACACCCAAAAACCGGAGGGGACTATTGCCATGCCAGCCAGAGGACATTCCCCTCTAAAAAAAAACAAAAACTCACCTGGCTTGGAGTTGCTGCCAACCATCTGCTGATGCTGCTGCTGCTGTTGTTGTTGCACGGCCGACTGCTGTTGCGACATTTGCTGCTGCTGCTGCTGTTGGGAATGTTGCTGCTGGCCATTGTGCTGCAGATGAGCAGCTGTCACCGTTTGCTGCTGCTGCTGCTGCTGTTGCTGCTGCTGGGCTTGGGCTGCGGCAGCAGCTGCTGCTGCTGGATGGATGGCCAGGAGCTTCGTTTCCGGCGGCTTGTGGGGGCCCATTGTGATCTGCGGTGCACCCATGGCTATGGTCGGGGCTGGCATCATCAGAGTGGACATGGTCAGCATAATTTGCGAGTGAATTTTGGTTGCTTTCTACGGGTGTTCTATATCCAGGCGGCCTTAGGGCTTTTGCGCGCTCTGTCTCTCTGGCGATTCTCTATTGATTCGCTGACCTCTCCTTGCAGCTGCCTGAACTCTGTGCCAAAGGTCGCGTGGGGTTCGCCTTTGTCGCCACCGTCTCACATATGCGAGGACTGTGGCACTGGCACTGGCACGGGTTCTGCCTCTAGCGTTGGCTAGTTCTCCGGTTTGCTTTCTCTTGGCTCGCACCCGGCTATGTACTTATATATATATATATAAATCGCTTTATATATAAGCAAGCGAGTGTTGCTGCTGTAAACTTATGAAATATGCTCGCTGTTGGGTGCTTGGCTGCCTGGCTGCTTGGCTGCTGCTGCTGCTGCTGCTGGTTGGTGGCCACCGACTCTATGTATTTTCACTTTTCGAGCTGTTCGCTGTGGCCTTTGGCTTTGGCTTTGGCGTTGCCTTTGCCTTATGCTGATGGCTGCTGCTCTGCTCCGTTCTGGCTGCGTTTCGGCTGCTCGTCCTGGCCGTGTTCGTCTCGCATGTGCTGCTCTGACTTATTACGAGTATTTTTATAATTCTCGTTCGCCTTTCTTTCCTTTCTTTCTTTTATGTGTTTCGCTTATGTGTTTGTTCAACCGGAAATACACGAACTCAAGCGCACTTGGCTTGTAATTTCTTTTGGCCCGTTTTCGTTTATGTTGGATATCGTTTTCATGGATTTCTTCGTCTGCCTTCGTCTGCCTGCCAGTAATCGCAAATTATATCTACCACTCCCATACGATTATATATCCCCAGTTGATGTTGTGTGTCTGCAGGCACAGTCACAGACACAGGCCCTAGCGGAAATTAGAAATATTCCTGCCGTACATTTGTTTATGTCTGTTATTCGGAATGTCATGCATAAAGTGGAGTGCAAATGTAAGAACCACAAGCTAAATTCTATTGGGGTATGGGAATGGGTTTCTAAAGTTTCCAGAAGAGGAATCGCTGGCAATTATTTAGCCGGCAGCTTCCACAACTGAGTTTCGTCGCGCGCCAATCTGCAGCTGCAACTTTACAAGTCACTGACTGACTGACTGAGGGAAAATCATCTGAAAACATTTGTCAAAGTTTAATGAAAGTCGCCGAAAAGTTGTATGGCTGGAAGAGCACCAACAGAAGAAGGATCAGGACAAGGATAAAAGAGTAAGGCTCTATCTGTAGATCATTGAGCACTTTCCCACCCTCGAAAAAAAACAGGTGACTTTAGGCAGATCTCAGTTGCAGAAGTTTCAGTTTCTTTTGTGTTTAACGCACCGGAACCAAAAAGAGACGAGATCAACGCACACACACACTATCGCTGGTTCGCTTTAGATACGTCGTCTATACGGTAATACGGAGGTGGAACCCAAAGAACAGGAAGAACACAAAGCGTTCGGTATACGTTCGTACTAGACCGCTGGGCGACGCTTTTCTTACTGAACGCCAGCAGCACACGCATTGGCCAAAAATTCAGAGGCGCTGCTGCCACAGCCACAGCCACTGCCACTGCAACGGCAACGACAACGACAGCGGCACCAGGAGCAAACAGCGACGACGGTGGCGGTGGCAAAACGGTTGAAGACCCAGCACCAGGCGGCTTTCCTTCTGCCGACGATGGTAATGACGACGACAGCGGCAACGACGGCGACGTCGGCGACGACAACGACAGGATGCGTTTCCCTACATTTTTCTCTCCGAGGACGAGTACGACGATTACGAGGACGCCATTGCCATCGTTTTGGAATAGCACTTGCGACCGAATACCGTTATTCTCGTCGCTCCGTGACGCGTTCGTTCATGAAATATTCACGAATTGCTCGCTCTCATTCTCACCAGTGTCCCGCTCGTACGTGCTGCTGCTGCCGCTCCTTCTGCCACCGCTACTGCTGCTGCTACCGCAGCTGTCCCTCCTCGTCGGATTCATCACATCGCCAGCGTTGCGCTCCGGGCGCCATTCACAACGCCTGTCGTGCTCTGTGGTCGCCTTCGTGTTGCTCGTCCATGTTCGGCTCGGTTTCGATATCAAATTCGAAACAAGGCGCAGAATCCGAGTAGGTCTGGCCAAAGGAATTTCCGCAATTCCCAGCCAAATTTGAATTTAAACAGAAAAGTTTGACTCCATTTGGTGTCTCAGATGAAAAACTTGTACCAAAAATATAAAGAAGAGTTTGTAGATTTCAACTCAAATATATTTCTGACATAATTCCATCAAAATTCCATTTAAAATCTTATAAATTCCAGTTTATACTTTAAGTTTCCTTTGCCGCTGCAAGTTTGTTGCAAAATTTCCTTTACGCTGTCTTGCGGCAGAATTCCCAGTATTTTTATGGGCATTTGCTGTAAACTGTTATACCCATGAACTGTTATTAACAGAATGTCTTCTCACTGGCTCATGCTTGACTCTGCAGCAGCTCTTGGGCTATAATTAACTCTTCAAATTCTCAGTCAATCAGCTTTGAATACAAATCCAACGCTCACCGCAGAAAAAATTTGACTAGCATAATGAAAACCTAATTGGGAACATGGTATCTGCTAAGTTAGAGAAACCCAAAGCGTATGTCAGCTGCGAGACAGTCAAATGTCAGTGAATGTGAGAAGGGTTTCCATGCCGAGTGTGGTATGTAGCCTTTAATATCTCTTGTATCCCTTAACCACATCGACATGTGTACCTCGAACCACACCACTACCCCTTTTAGCATTTTCCGAGCCATAATTATATCCAGGGATAACAAATGGGGAAGATGCAGTTGCCAGTTGCTACTGCAACCTGGTACTCCGCCAGCACCATTCGCGCTCTTTCTTTTATGTGTATTTTGTTGGTGTTGTTGCTGTTGTTATTAACATACTGTTGGCGTTGACAGCGGTGACAGGGCGTTGAGGTAATGTTTCAAGGGGAGTGGGGGGAGAGCGAGTGTGGAAAAGTCAGCAGAAAAATAGAAGGAAAAATACATAATTGCATGTAATTTAGCATGCGACATTATCATTGTTCTTCTGCTCGTATTTTTCAAAAAAAGTACGAAGAAAAATAATACAGAAAGTGCTTCGAATGGGAAGTACCCATTAGTCAGAGTCATCTGCATGCTAAGATCCTGACTGCATTTTTTTTAGAGATTTAATTTTGATAATTTTTAGTGATTTTTCAGTTGCTCGCAGGTTCAGGTTCTGTAGCCTGGAAGACTTTTAGTGCTGGGTGTAATCAGCGTTGCCCACACACACCCATTGTCCTTGTCCGTGTCCTGCCTTGTGCGAGTGAGAGATCGAGTCGAGTCGAGTGAGTTTGTGTATGTGAAAGGGGCAACGAATTGCGAGGACAGCGGACAACGGGCTTTGAGTGTCTTTTGTACCCTTTTCCTTACACACATATTGCATGTGCCCGTGTGTGTGTGTGTGTGTTCTGCATGTGTTTAAATGCAGAAACAACAATTGCAACAACAACAAAGGGGTGGGGGGGGCAACAAGAACCGTAGCAACAAAAGTGACGTTAACAATAAGAAGCAATGTCCCCCTTTAGAGCGATGCAAAAGGCGAGCCGAGAGCTCTCTGTCCCACTCCCCCTCTCTCTCTCTCTCTTACTGTTTCTCTTTCTCTGATGGACAAGGGCTGATTCTTCGTGTGTGTGTGTGTGTGTCCTGACAATTGCCCTTTGAATTTTTTAAATCACTTTAAATGAAAACAACAACAGGATTCCCTTTTCCATCGCGTTGCCTTTTGCCTTTTGTTCCTCGAGTTGCGCTTGTTAGGTAAATCAGCGCCAGTTTTACTTATATATTTGTGACTGCGGCTGTGAGTTTGTGAGTGTATGACTGTATGAGTGCTTGGCTGAAAAAACAACCTCATCAGAGGAGGGGGGGAAAGTTATAACGTGCTTAAGCGTCTTTAGCTGAAATGAGGCTAAAAATATTTGCTTATAATGGAGTGCACGACTCTGTGAGTGTGTGTGTGTGTGTGAGCTGTGACCATGCACACAAGTGTACAGAGAGTATGGTGTGTGTGTGTGTGTGTGAGAATACGTGTGAGGGACGACAGAACAATAGCGCATTGGGTACTATTGTTGTTGTGCTCCCCAGCACTTGTCTGCCCCCTCAAACATATAAGCAGAAAATTAAGGCATTGTTAAAGCCAATTAAGGTATTTAGTGAAGGGCCGCACCCGTCGCCGAGTCGTTGTGGACACAACAGAGCGTATACTTGATATTTCGTGGAGGATGACAGGCACCAGAGTTGCTGAGAGAGTGAACTTAAGGGTGGGGCAGGCCTGAAATTAGGGTAGTCGTTGTACAAGTAAGCGATTTAATCAGAACTTAGCTTAAATATGAAGCAGCAACATTCAGATCATTCGGAATCCATCAATTATCTATCGGAACTCCATCGTTGATACAGGTGGTTAGTTCAAGAGTGATTACTTTGCATTGATCCCTTTTCAAACCTTTCATATTAATAGTTCAGGAGTGACCAGCATGCCTAATTGATGTCTTCCCAAACCAATAATCCCATTGTTATTGTAGCTTACCCTGCAAAGCTCTGTTAATCAACCTTAATTTGGGGCAAAATCTAATCAGACTCGAGCCCCAATCAAACGCTGGAAAGAGGGCAAACCACAGCAAAACATACCACTTCTCGGCAAAACAGAGGCAGCCAGACGGGAGACCCTTCAAAGATTTTAACTGCCGCAAACAAAGGAAGGACAACAGGCAAAGGAAGGAGAATCCAAGCACCTTTTTGGACAACACCCAATGGCTGACAGTTTTGAGCGCCTCCTGGGACAACTTTGCCGGGCACATTGATGGCTCAGCATCGATGGGGAATCTTCTTGAGGGAGTTTGCAAATTTTCTGGGTCTGGCCCAGAAACTGCCACTAAATAAATTCATGTTCGCATGCTCAAGGCGACCTGGACCGCACTGGACCGGACCAGACTCTTGTCCAAAAAACAACCCACTAAAAAGCTAAATAAGTAAATTATTTATGCATGTTCGGGTGTGCTGCCTGCTGCCTGCTGCCTTCTGCCTTCTGCCTGCTTTTAGGTGCCACCTAATGGGGGTCACACTTGGAGACTTAAATTTTTAAATAGGTGTGTCAGATAATGAAAATAAGTACCCGACTGGGGAGTGCAGCAGCAGCTTACAGCTTCTCCAGTAAAGTTACAGCTTTCAGCTTTCCACATCCACATGCTGCGCGGGGGGAGGGGAGCGGACTGCTGTAAATTGTATGGACCAACATTTTTTTAGGCTGCGGTGTGTCACAGTTTTTGTTTTCCTTGCTCTCCAGCCAGGCAGCTGGTCTGGCTGTTGGGCTGTTGGGCTGTTTGGACTGCAGTGTGGCACTCACTCTGTTTTCTTTTTCCCTGATGTGGACATGGCTTGTAGGCCGCTGTTGATGCCAGTGCCACTGCCATAGCCATTTGCCTTTTAACTTGGCTAACGATAATTTGTTTGGCAACTGCCGTCGCTGTTTTGCCACCGCCGCTGCGTAATGAATTTTTATGCTCCTTTAATGTACTTTACGCAGATATGAAATTATGTGACCAAAGCGACCGAATCCCCACTCACCGATACACTCAGCCATCGCTTTGAGAGGGCCGGCCTCTGTTTGCTCTGTTAATTATTAATATTTTTTAATTAAAATGTGCACTAGCCACAAAAACACAAACATGCCTCTTAGGCAAACACAAATGGGTGCCAAAACAGTTCGCCGAAAAAGGTTCACAGACTTCTCTGAAATCATACAAAATCCAAACGAAAATAAAGAATATTCCGAATTCAAAATAACGTTGAAAATGTCGCATTAAAATTGTGGAAATATATTCTGAGAGAGGGGTGGAGAGTGATATGAAGTGGTCGTCAGTCAGATAAATCTGCACTGAAGATGGCCAAGGAAAGGCACGCATGAATTTTCGCACTCGAATAAAGCCAGCAAGGCCTGTCTCTCACTCTATATCATTTGTGCACCCCTTTTCCTATAGCAAAGTTCTTCCTTTTGCGAGCGTAACCAACTTAATGTAGCGCGAAATAACTCGAATAATTCAAATGTGCGCTCTTTGCCAGCGTATGCATGACCAAATTATGACTGCCAATAATCAGCAGAGAAGGCGCGAACATTTGCAGCAGCAAAACGATTTTATTCGCATTCTTAAATCATGAATGGCAGAAAAGATTCAAGTCAGTATGCAGAGTTTTATGACACCTTTTTGAATCAAACTAGAGTATATTCTCTCAGCCAATTGGTTAGATAGACTCCCATGTTGTAGCGACAATTTATAGTTAAATTTCCAACTCGTTTATTCTCGATTTCTGTGGGCACCGCTTATGGGGCTATTACAACTGGCCTTGGCCATTCGATGGCCGCGTGCGCGCCTGCAGCCGGAAGTGCGCGTTCCATCGATTTGTCTCTGTCTTGGGCTACCAGTCAAAGCTGCAGCTTTTGGCACAATTT